CAGAACAAAGATTGCAACTCAAAAGTGCGGATTACAAACATTGAAAAGAATTACTAAATTCAATACGAATATATTGTAATAATTCATCAATGGATTTCTTGTTATATAGAGTTTCCACCATTGACAACCATTAAAAAACTTTGAAGCTTTGAAATTGAATTTAGGTTTTCAAAAACGATAATTTGTTTAGATTGGGTGTTGTTGCAAACATTTGAGAATATTATTTGGAGTTTATATCTCAATTTTGAGGGTGTTTTGGTTAAGATTAGACTTGATTTTGGCTTAATTTCAGATTGAAACTCGAAGAAGAAGAAGAAGAAGAAGAAGACATGACATATAATATACTTACGAAATTGTAGTAAAGTTGTAGTAAAATTGTAGCTAAATTATATTCTGTTGCAGTTATATATATATATAATTTGAATATTGTATGAAAGTTAAAAAAATAGTTGTATTATGTATGAATTGTTGTATAAAATTTATATTTAAGTTATCGATACTATCCTTTTACATAAAGTTGTTGATATGCATCAAAATTGTATTAAGAGAGTAATTTTTGATTAGAATTTTAGAAAGAAAGAAGCGCACACCACACACAAAATATATACAAATCAGATACAAAATATATAAAAGACATATTGTATAAAATTTGTATAATAATTTTATTTAAGTTGCATGATATTGTAGTGGTATTTAACTGGGTAGAAATAATATATGAAAGTTGTAGATAAATTATAGATTAGTTATAAATAAGTATATACTGTATAGTTAGTGGTAATTCAATATTACAAAATCAAATGCAATGTGACTAATTCAATATTACATTCCAAATCGCAATTGACTATAATTTCATTGAGGGTAAAATTTGATTATGTAATTTGACCAAATAACTCGTGACTATAATTGTCAAAAATATCGATAAATTTAAAATGTCTCTGTGCCAATTCTGAGTACTTGTACTGAGTATTGCCATTTGTCTAAGTAATAAGGAGCCCTATTTTCAAGTTGGTTACGTGATAGACCTGCAGGCTTTCGGTGCTTATGATATAATTTTGATTTCCTCCGCGTTACGAAAAGTAATGCATGTTTAAGGATATCAATTGTGTTAAGCTGATAGCATAATCAGATAAATATTATTTGTTGAAAGACATTTGCTAAAGAAGAATTTCGTGATGCTTAATTGCGTGAATATTAGAGTTAATTGCCAAGAGGTGTGGTTATGTCAAATATCACTAGTTTCTCAAATTATACATGGGAGGCAACTAGATTTTGTCATCATACAACTATTTTTCAACTTTCATACAACTTTCAAATAAATATATATATATATATATATATATATATATATATAACTACAATACAATACAAATTTACCTACAACTTTACTACAATTTCGTAAGTATATTGTATATCATATCTTCTTCTTCTTTTTCTTCTTCTTCTTCTTCTTCTTCTTCTTCTTCTTCTTCTTCTTCTTCTTCTTCTTCTTCTTCTTCTTCTTCTTCTTCGAGTTTCAATCTGAAATTCAGCCAGAACCAAGTTTAATCTTCACCAAGCATCCTCAAAATTGAGATATAAACTCCAAACAATATTGATTTTTGAAAACCCAAATTCGAATTCAAAGCTTTATGATAGATTAATGTTCGAATATTCAATTCCTACAACCTGAAGGTTACATCAATAGGTTGATTGGCAGAAGATAATTTTAGGCTTACCTTATTGAGAGAGAAAAATGGTGAGAGAGAAAGATGAAGAAAGAAAGAAAAATTGATGAGAGTTGCGGCAGTGAGGAAAGAGGAAAGGAGAGAAAAAAAAGGAAAAAGGATGTAACTAAATCCCCTAATTCAAGACAATAATAATGGATTGTATATAATTTGTAAGTAATCTTTGTTTAGGGTGGGTAATATACAAAACTAGGATAATTTTGGTAAACAAGTTTCAAATATTGTATAGGAAGAAAAAAATCCCATGAAATAAGCATGTAGCAATTATAGTATTATTTCAAGGCATAATATTGAGCAAGGAATATGAGAGAAACAATTAATATAATAATTAATTCATAATTTAAAATAATTTATGAGTTTCAAATAATTACGTAAACAATTAATTTGATGACATATAAACACTCGTCACCTCGCCTATATGCCGTTCACATGAATTTCACATAACAAATAATTCAAGAGTTCTATTCCCTCAAGTCAAAGGTTAACCACGATAATTACTTCGCTTCGCAACCAATTTCAAGATTCCAATAAACCTTTGCCTCGCTAATTCGTGTCCGAAAGCTTCAAATCTAGTCACAAACAATTCAATATACTCGACACTAATCGTTGGAATTAATTCCATATGAATTTACTAATTTTCCGGATTAAAATCCGAAATTCATTTTAAAAATTGACAGTGGGACCCAAGTTTTGAATACCGAAAAAACTCACTAAATCCGAACACCCGTTCCGATACGAGTTCAACCATGCAAAAATTATCGAATTCCGACATCGGATTGACCTTCAAATCTTCATTTTATATTTTTGGAAGATTTTATAAAAATCTGATTTTTCTTCCATAAATTCACGGATTCATGATGTAAATGAGTATGAAATCATGATATATAATAAATATAGGATAAGGAATACTTACCCCAATATTTTTCCGTAAAAATCGTCCAAAAATTGCCTTACCCGAGCTCAAAACCGTGAATAATGAAAAATGGGACGAAATCCCATTTCAAGAACTTAAGTCGTGGTGTGCAGGCCGACTTTTCCCTTCGCGAACGCGAGGCCTCGATCGCGAACACGAAGCTTTGCCCTCGACCCTTCGCGAACGCGAAGCTTTGTCCTCGACCCTTCGCGAACGCTTGCCCCCGGCCGCGAACACGAAGCACAAAACGAACAAGTCCAAATTTCCTCTTCGCGAACGCGATGAAGGAAATGAGATACAGGCATCAGAAGCACTATAGGAGACTTGGCCTAAAGTGGACAATATTACACATGTTAAGATTATCTTTGGACGGATTTAGCCAACATGGACCAATATAGATATAACCAAATAAACAAAATACGGAAAGAAATTAAAGTAGAAGCTACACCACATAATGAGAGATTCAAATATACAATACTGGAATAAACCAAAAATACCTTCTACTTGGATTCCAAAGAAGAACCTAAGCAACTGGTAATTCTCAAGTCTATACGCAAGCTTATGGGGAAGCTGGATTACATTGCCCAAATTCACTTTTACCGAATCGAAAGCCGAAAAATCGAATCAAAATTTGCCATAACAACCGATCGAATGTCCAATAGTCGAGGAGAAGAATCCTCTCGCCAATTTAAACAATATTTCATTTTTCTTTGATAGAATTATGACATTTAAATATATGAAGAACGAGCAACTGAATTTGGAAATTCTGCAGTAGTCACTATTTCCTAGAGTTTGTGTGGCAGGAATTTGCATATTAGTTTATACAGTAACAAATTCGGTATTTAAATTTTATGAGTTTAACTTTAAAGTTTTATTATTGAACCCATTATATTTTTAAAATTACAGGTTAATATTTACTCTTTTTGCAATTTTAATGATTTTTTACATATAAATTTTTACTCTGCGTCGAAAGTTATGAGTTCAATTGAACCTATTATTAACATACTATATATGCCCCTAATTTTATATTTGATTCATCTCATGTCTAATAGACCTATACAGTTGATATAAATCTACTCTAATTTGAGATAAAGATACTACTCCCTATGTTTCAGTTTATGTGAACCTATTTTCTTTTTGGTCCGTTCCAAAAAGAATGACCCCTTTCTAAATTTGAAAACAATTTAACTTAAACTCTACCCTTAGTGAGAAGCTTTTATAACCACACAAATACTCTAGGCCCCATTTTAATTTGTTTAGGACCACAAATTTCAAAACTCTTCATTTTTTTCTTAAACTACGTGCCCAGTCAAACATGTTCACATAAATTGAAACGGAGGGAATAGTAATTATTACATTATGATCTCGCCCAATTATGCATTATAAAAGATTAAGCACTCCTTATAAATATAATCTGGTCTAAAAGTCCGGAATCAATCCTACTGATAATTAAGGTTTAGCTACAATTGTTCATTATTACTGAGAAGACAAATTTGAATATTTTTCTAAATTATAAAGATTAAGATTTTTTTATTATTTCTAACTAATTAATACAAGTATAAAGTTGCTAGCAAAGGTTAGGAGGATGGGATATGTAGATGGAAAAGGGTCGGAGAATGAGTCAAATTTGTTCTTTTACTTTTCGAAATTGAGCATGCAATTTAATCCTTCGTCTCCTTCTAACTTCTAACAGAGCTTCAATTTAAGGGTAATCTTAAACAAGGTCCAAAAGTTGCTGGCTAAATTAAGTTGGACTCTTTTTCTCAAAAAATCTGGACATTAAAAACTAGTACTCAATCCGTTTCATTTTACGTGAACCTATTTTCTTTTTGGTCGATTCCAAAAAGAATGATCCATTTCTAAATTTGGAAACAATTTTTGCTTAAACTTACAATTCTACCCTTAATGAGAAAGCTTTTATAACCAGCAAATACTCTGAGCCCATTTTTGACTTGTTTATAACCACAAATTCTAAAAGTCTTTATTTTTTCTTAAACTTCGTGGCCAGTCAAACATGTTTATATAAATTGAAACGGGGAATACTAATTTTGCTATAAACAAGGTACGAATAGACTAATAAGTATAGCCGGACGCAAGATTGAGCTTTTCCGCACAGTACGGGAACAAATTTGGATCTTTCCACGAAAGTTATCATAATTTGGCTGGGTTAAATCATAATTTGTACTTGGAAGCAACTAAAATTAGGTGAATCAAAATTGAAGTAATAACCAACGTAAGTTCTAGAATATTGACAGAACAAGGGAAATTTAAAAGAAGAGAAGCTCCTAGAAACTTGCCACTCCTTCCTCCATGTCCCTCCAGAAGCTTCTCTTCTTCCCCCTTTTCTCACATATAAGAACCATCTTCTGTCTACATTACCCACAATTCAGTTCATTCTCAGAACCATTCCAAAATTAGAAGTTTAAATCCAAAATATCATCAAAATCTAATCTAGAAGAGAAAAGTGGATATGAGACTGATGGGATTAGAAAATCCACTCTTCCACACTCTCCACCAAATGATGGATCTCCATGCGGATGTAAGTACATTCTATCTGATAAGAATCTTGTATTATAGATTATAGCATTTTCATTTGTTATTTGTATTTACCACTTCGTGTTTGATTAATAAGTACCTTACTGTTAGAATTGGTATATTTTACGATTCAAAATTTCGAATCTTTAGTATTGTATCATATGCAAGAGTTTAAGGTTCTATCCAAAAGTATCTTGTTTAGAAGAAAGAAATTTATGGTTTTCTTGAATCTCCGATATTCTCTTGTTTGTTATTTGTCTCTTATGATCTAGGATTCGGACAAGTCGAATAACGTCCCGTCGAGGAATTACGTGCGCGACGCTAAGGCAATGGCAGCGACACCAGCGGACATTAAGGAACACAAAAACTCGTACGTTTTCATAGTGGACATGCCGGGTTTGAAGTCAAGCGACATTAAAGTGCAATTAGAGGATGACAATGTGCTTATAATCAGTGGCGAGAGGAAAAGAGAAGAAGAAAAAGAAGGGGCGAAATATGTTATAATGGAAAGGAGAGTAGGGAAATTCATGAGGAAATTTGTGTTGCCTGAAAATGCAAATACAAATGCCATTTCTGCAGTTTGTCAAGATGGTGTATTGACTGTGACAGTGGAAAAATTGCCTCCACCTGAGCCAAAGAAGCCCAAAACTGTTGAAGTTAAAGTTGCTTGAAGTGATGAAAGGGAAAATTATAGGAGTGTTCTGTTTTGGATTTGGAAGTATAATTACGCGATATTTCATTGTTTGTTTTTCTCATGGAAATTGTTGACAAGTATGGCGTAATCACTTTTCATCTTGGATAATTTACATATTGCTGTTTGTTTCCAGAACTCTAAATCTGGTCTGATTTTGTCAGTTTTGATGTAACAATGCTGTTTTATCTTTCTTTTTTCATGTTAAAGTGTCTTTTTTTATTTATTTGTTTTGGATTTAAAGCGTGTAAACGGATCACTTAGAATTATCGTAAGGTGAATTTCCGCCAATATCAACATCATCATCGATTTGAATTATTCTACCGCCAGATGTCACATGACTACTAAGCAGCAGTAGGACACATATGAAGGAGGAGCAACTTGGTGCTCTTTCTCATTGATTGATATTTTCTAGTTATTCTGTATTTTAAGTGTTTGTTTAAATTTTATAGTCATAGAAGTAATTGTACAAATTAAACTTTTATTAGAGATTATTTTAAGCTCATTATATTGAATTCACGCACTCTTGGACATTTTAACATACATCACACTACTTGTGAAATCGATCTCGACCCTTTGTTGAGTTTATTATTGTTGGAACCGTAAATTCTATAGTTGTTAGTACTCAGTTCTATGTGCAAAATAAGCCTCAAAGTTATCCTATGAAAAATTACGATCATAGTGAAAAAAAGAAGTCCACTTTCATAACTTGTACTCATCTCTGATATTATCTGAAAAACAGATTAATGTATAAACAATTACTACGAGTATATAGTATAGCAATGGTGATTGCTTGAAAGGTTTATGCTCAATGGTGTTGAAGAAAAGCTACGGTAAAATTAACATCAATGAAAACTGTTGCGATTTTATTAAGGGGTGTGAATAGGAAATGGAAAAAGCACCTCTTGGGTGTGAATGGGAAATGGAAGAGGCATCTCTTGGATTGCACCTCTTCATCTCATCCTTTCATTGGGGTGTGAATGGGAAATGGAAGAGGCATCTCTTGGATTGCACCTCTTCATCTCATCCTTTCATTGGGGTGTGAATGAGAAATGAAAGAGGCATCTCTTGGATTGCACCTCTTCATCTCATCCTTTCATTGGGGTGTGAATGGGAAATGGAAGAGGCACCTCTTGGATTGCACCTCTTTATCTCATCCTTTCATTGTCTATAAATAGAGAGGCTTAACCTCATTTTCCACCACTGAAAAATCTGAAATCCCTCCCTTCAGTTTTCTGCATACTGCATTGGTTATTCAAAAGCAAAACGTAAGCATTTTGTGTGATTTGCTCCGCCATTTGAGTTTGTCAAAATTCTGTGATTTGAAGTGCCGCTATCACAGAATAGTTATTCCGTTCTATCCTGGGAGGAATTAATCCGCAACCTTGGGCATTGTGAGGGGATTAAATTCCTTAAGGAAATACAAGAAACTTGTGGGTTCAAAATTTTCTCTGCTTTGTTTTTTCCTTAAACTAACATTTATTGATTTACTGGTTTTGAATACAGAGTGATAACAAGCTTAAAGAATTTAATATTTATTTCTGTATTCATCTTATATTCTGTTTTGGGAGACTAAAATCTTATTGATTTTCTACTCCCGTTTTGGAGATTAAAATCTTCGGATTTTCTACTCTAGTTTGAGATTAAAGTCTTTGTGACTTTCTACTCAATCCGAGATATAAAAACTCGGTTGCTTGTATTCGGTTTTAAGATATAAAAACTTCACCGAGATACTAATTCTGTTTGTCAATTTCTTTTACAGAAAAATGAGAAGTGCGGAATAACATAATGGTTCTGTTGGGACTACTGCTGCAATGGCAACTGCATCTTCAAGTCGCACAACTCCTGTACCGGCGATGGCACCGGCAGAAAAACCCGAAAAGTTTTCCGGTATAGACTTTAAGCGTTGGCAGTAGAAATTATTTTTCTACCTGACCACACTCAGTTTACAGCGCTTTATCAGCGAAGACGTTCCAGTTCTGGGAGAAGAAACTCGTGAAAATGAGCGATTTGTGGTCACTGAGGCATGGAAGCATTCTGACTTCTTATGCAAAAACTATATTTTAAGTTGCTTGGAAAACGGCTTGTACAATGTTTATAGCGTCATGAAAACATCAAGAGAATTGTGGAATTCTCTTGAAAAGAAGTACAAGATTGAAGATGCTGGACTAAAAAAGTTTGTGGCCGCCAAATTTCTGAATTTCAAAATAGTTGACGGTAAATCTGTCATAACGCAAGTCCAAGAATTGCAAGTTATTGATCATGACCACCTTGCTGAAGGTATAAGCTGAGTAAATATTTTTATTCAAGATATTGATTATTTTACTAATTATAAATTTATGATTGAAGGTATGGTCATAAATGAAGCGTTTCAAGTTTAGGCATTTATTGAAAAGTTGCCTCCGCTGTGGAAGGATTTTAAGAATTACTTGAAACATAAGTGCAAGGAGATGACGCTTGAAGACCTTATTGTTCGTCTACGGATTGAAGAGAAGAACAAGGCTGCTGAGAAAAAGTCTCGTGAAAATTCAACAATTATGGGTGCAAATATTGTTGAGGAAGCTTCAACGAGCATAAAGAGAAAGAAGTCGTCTGGTCCAAAGAATTACCCAAGAAAAAAGAAGTTCAAAGGTAATTGCTATAACTGTGGAAAGGTTGGACACAAGGTTGCTGAATGTCGTGCACCAAAGAAGAACAAGAAGAAAAGTCAAGCAAACATGATTGAGAAGAATGATGAAATAGACGATTTATTTGCCATGCTTTCAGAGTGCAACCTAGTCGGAAATTCTAGAGAATGGTGGATTGGTTCGGGGGCAACTCATCATGTTTGTGCTAACAAGGAGTTGTTTACTTCTTATGCTCCCGCTAGACCCAACGAGACAGTTTTTATGGCAAATTTCGCTACTGCAAAAATTGAAGGAATGGGCAAGATAGCTTTGAAGATGACTTCTAGCAAGATTGTGACTCTAAATGATGTCCTTCATGTTCCTGAAATGCGGAAGAATTTAGTCTCGATATCACTTCTAGTCAAGAATGGCTTTAATCGTGTTTTTGTTTCCGACAAGGTTGTAGTTAGTAAGAATGAAATGTATGTAGGAAAAGGCTACCTTACAGAGGGCTTTTTCAAACTCAATATAATTGCCATTGATATGAATAAAATTTCAGCTTCTTCTTACTTACTTGAGTCAAATAATTTATGGCATGAACGTTTAGGCCACGTCAACTTCAAAACTTTGCGAAAAAATGATTAATTTAAAAGTACTGCTTAAGTTTGAATGCAATAACTCGAAATGTCAAATATGTGTGGAATCAAAGTATGTTAAACATCGATCCTTATAAGTCAGTTGAAAGGAATTCAAATCCTTTAAACTTAATTCACACAGATATTTGTGACATGAAGTCAATACCATCTCATGGTGGGAAAAAGTATTTCATAATTTTTATTAACGATAGTACTAGATATTGTTATATTTACTTACTTAATAGTAAAGATGAAGCAATTGAGTCATTCAAGCAATACAAAAATGAAGTTGAAACGCAACTAAACAAAAAGATCAAAATGATAAGAAGTGATAGGGGTGGTGAGTATGAATCTCCTTTTGAAGAAATATGTTTGGAATATGGCATTATTCACCAAACAACTGCCCCTTACTCACCGCAATCTAAGAATAGAATGTTAAAGGAGATGATGAATGTCTTATTGATAAGTTCGGGTTTACCCCAGAACTTGTGGGGGGAAGCTATTCTTACAGCGAATCAAATACTCAGCCGAGTTCACCATAACAAAACGCAATCTATTCCATATGAAAAATGAAAAGGTAGGAAACCCAACTTAAAATATTTTAAAGTGTGGGTGTGTTTGGCTAAAGTGAAAATTCCTAAACCCAAAAGGGTGAAGATTGGACCGAAAATGGTTGATTGCGTTTTCATAGGATATGCAAGAAATAGTAAAGCATATCGTTTTCTGGTTCATAAATCAGAAAATCCAGACATTCATATTAATACGGTAATCGAATCCGATAATGCTGAATTCTTTGAGAATATTTATCCGTATAAAAATACATGTGAGTCGTCTAGTGAAAAATCTAAGCGACCTCGAGAAGAAAAAAAAGAAAGTACGTTTAATGAGGAAAATCCAAGACATAGTAAACGTCAAAGGACAACAACTTTTTTTGGATCAGACTTTCTTACATTTTTGTTGGAAAATGAGCCTCAAACGTTCGAAGAAGCAATGTCTTCCTCGGAAGCACAATATTGGAAAGAGGCAGTCAGTAGTGAGATAGAATCCCTATTAAGTAATCATACTTGGGAATTGATTGATCTTCCTCCGGAAAATAAACATTTGGGTTCTAAATAAATTTTCAAAAGGAAAATGAAAGTTGATGGTACTATTGACAAATATAAGGCAAGATTAGTTGTTAAAAGGGTTTAGACAATGAGAAGGTCTTGATTACTTTGACACATACTCGCCGGTAACAAGGATTACATCTATCCGGGTGTTAATAGCGTTAGCCGCCATGTATGGCCTTCAAATCCATTAGATGGATGTAAAGACAACCTTCTTAAATGGAGATTTAGAGGAAGAAATCTATATGGAACAACCTGAAGGGTTTGTAGTTTTCGGAAAAGAAAAGAAGGTGTGTCGACTTATTAAGTCACTTTACGGACTAAAACAAGCACCAAAACAATGGCATGCGAAATTTGACCAAATAATGTTGTCAAATGGTTTCAAGATCAATTAGTGTGACAAATGTGTTTACATTAAGAATACTCCAAATCAAATAGTCATTGTTTGTTTATATGTTGATGATATGTTGATAATGAGAAACGACATTGCTAACATAAATGCTACTAAGCACATGCTTACTAATAAGTTTGATATGAAAGACTTAGGAGTTGCCGATTTAATTTTGGGAATTAAGATCCTTCAAACTCCTCAAGGTCTAGCTTTGTCTCAATCTCATTATATTAAAATGGTACTTGAAAAGTTCAAATATTTGGACTTTAAAGAAGCAAAAACGCCAATTGATTTAAACCATACTCTTGTAAAGAATAAAGGTCAAAGCAAGTCTCAATTGGAATATGCTCGAGTGTTGGGAAGTTTGATGTACATTATGAATTGTACACGACATGATATAGCTTGTGCGATAAGTAAGCTTAGTCGATACACAAGTAATCATAACCAAGCTTATTGGATAGCAATGAAACGAGTTTTGGGATATTTGA